TTGTCTTTTTGTCTTTTTGAGACAAGGTCTCCCTGTAGCCCCAGCTGTCCTAGAACTCACTATGTAGACCAGGCTCGCCTTGAACTCACAGAGATCCACCTGCCTCTGCCTCCCAAGTGCTGGGATTTGGCCACCATGCCCAGCCAAAATGCATTTCTAAGTATATAATTATAATGGAAAAATTTCACTAAACACAAAGTTGGCACACAGAAAATTTGAGTGCACTACCTTGTGTTAGTGATATGTATCTTTACTATCATTATATAAAGAATGAGAAGGTTGACAAAGGAGTAAGCAGACAAACTTAGATCCCAAGATCGAATTAATTCTATTTACATGTAAAAAAAATTATTAAATGGCAATTATTTTATTATCTAAGATTAACTCTGAGATTTTTATTTTTTACCTTATGTTCACTCTAAAATCCAAATGTGTTTTACTTTTGCTTTTCTTGTCCTGTGTTCACATACTGTATCATGATCACATATATCTTCAGATTTAGGTAGTTTCTAGGTTTCATTTGACAATAGGAGTCTACATTATACTGGTTGGCAGTGTAAGCAGTGGAGTGATATATACCTGCAAAGACTCGCCAATTTTTTTTGGGGGGGGGCTCTTTTTGAGACAGGGTCTTCCTGTAGCCCCAGGTGGCCTAGAACTTGCTAATGTAGACCAGGCTGGCCTCAGTCTCACAGAGATCCACCTGCCTCTGCCTTCTGAGTGCTGGGATTAAAGACATGAACCAATTTTGTGCCTATGTAATACATCCTTTTGTTGTTTTACTAGTAATAAGCCAGTGTAGTATCATGGTGGAGTTAGCTCTTAGAAGACAAAACAAGAAAAACAAAGAGACAGAGACAGAGGCTACATGGGGAAAACTTCAAGGTTGTATGGAAATATAAGATAAATATGATTTTATTAAAATTGTTTAAATTGATCATAATTAGTTACTAACTAGGGGCTATGTATAGCAAAATTAAACTCTAAAAAGATGTGTACAGAGTCTATTTTAAAAGTCCTGTGCATATAATGACCCCATCAGGATTAATGACTTGCTGCAGGAGAAAGTAGTGAACTAATTACCTTAATATTTTTTTCTTTTAGTGCTGAGGCCTGAACCCAGGGCTTTGTACATGCAAGTCAAGTACTCTGTCACTCTGCTACACACCAAGTTCTCATTATGCAGTTCTATTCTAAGATTTCATTGGTCTTAAATAAACTGAAATGCATCCTCATATCCCAATTTCAGTTTAGACCATTAAAAAAAGAGAATATTTGTATTTCTTCAATTTCTTAGACCAATCACTGTTATTAAGGTAATATGAAGTGATTGCTTTATGTGTGTTCTAATACAAAGTTCTGTTCAAATTAATGATAGGCCTTCACTAATTACACACACACACACACACACACACACACACACACACACACACAATGTTTTGGGGTTTTTTTTTTCCTCCCCAAAGACAGCAGGTAGCCATTGGAAGAGCTGCCTGACCTTAAAAGCTATGGAAATCAGTGAAGTTTGGACAAGTTAACAGTCTAGGGTTTGGGGTTTTGTTTTTTAATTGGTAGATCTGGGGAATTGGACTTATTAATAAACTATCACTTTCTTTGCATTTTTAATTTACTTATTTTTATTTAATGTGAATGAGTTTTGCCTGCATATATGTGCACCACGAGAGTGCAATGAAGAGGCCAGAAGAGGGTCTCAGAGCCCCTGGAACTGGAGTTACTGACAGTTGTTAGCCCCCATGTGGGTGCTGGAAACTGAACCCAGGTCCTCTGGAAGAGCAAGCAGCCAATGTTCTTAACCCCTGATCCATCTCTCCAGCCCAACTTTGCTTATTAGTTTTCTATCCAGAAGTAAGTGTTTGAATCAGAAACGACATACTTCCTGTTGCCCAAATGAAAATCTGAGATACTGATCTGTAGCTGAGTACTTTCAAGAGCTAACAAACAGACGTAACATTCTTGGAAAACAAGGAAAAAGCTGTCAGTTTTTCTTAGGCAGACAGCAGAGTTGACAAGGCTCTCCTCAATTCCCTTCTTTTACCCCGAGCTGTATTTTGTGGATAGAAATTTTACATTTTAATGTTAAAGGAGGTCGCTATTCAACACTATTATCATGCAAAGGTCTGACACTATTTTACACAAACAAAACAGTGCATTTTATGCATGGAACACTCATTTTGTATTTCTACAATATTTTCAAATAATATTATTTTTATCCTATCCTGGATTCTGTTACTATACTTAAACTGAAGTCCAGAATATTCAGTCCTATAGGCAGGTGATTTTCTAAAGTAGATTTATTTAATTAATGTGGTCTATTGGAAAGGTATCCTGCTGAGAGTAAGAAAAG